GTTTATTCGGCTTGCTAATGCCGATAACCGTGGCTTCTTTCCAGTCATCCGGAAAGGAGCAACTGGAGAGTAATGTGTTGTAGATGGTCGCCATTAAACAGATAAGCGGCCCAGGGAGAGCTTTAAGAAATTTATTACTAATATTGTCTGGGCCCGGAGCGGATTTGGGTTTTAAATTTTTAATAATGTCTCGGACCTCTTCGGCGGTCACTGAATTTAAAGGATCGCCTTCTGGTTGAAGCGCAGTAGCCCTAATCTCGATTACGCGGTCCACCTGCGTTAGGCGGACTGTATCGGTGTTCGCGCGATGGCGCGTACATTGCTGCATTAGGTTGTCCGCAAGGCATTCGGCTTTTTCAGAGTCATCTAGGGCTTTTGAAGCGCTATTAGGTACAACTAACGGTGGTAGAGATTCGCGGAGGTCCGCTTTCAGACTGCGGGCCAACCGCCAGTAGGCAGTGTGAGATGGCTCATATCCTCTAGGAGAGTGTCCCACTCGGTATGTCGGTGTTCCGATACGCGATCTTTGACTTCTAGCTGAAGGCGTCGAAACTCTTGATAATAAGTATGGATTAGCATGATTATTATTTTGTTGTTGTATAGGTACATGAAACCTGCATTAAAGCTGTCGCCAGCCCTATTTCCGGACCGATATGACCTGGAGACCTTCAAGAAGAGAGCCTACTCCTACCTCAAAGGCCGGCTACGCATTTGTGACTCCTCTGGTGTTGCCAGTGTCCATCAGGAGCCCAGCTGCTCTTTGTCTCCTTTTCCGTAAAAGAAGCACACCAACACATACAAGAAAGCCCTACGGGGAAACTCCAGGCTCACAAAGAATTTGAGTTGCAGGCGTAAGGTACCGTCCCGGTGTGACTGTAGGTCTTATCCCATGTACCCAGCGAAATCTCGACTGGACAATGGCCAAACGGCAGTGACCGTGACAGTTGCGTTATTACAGAAACTGGGCTAGGCTGTCCCGAGCTATTTCAATTAAAAAAAAGTTTTTACTTTCCTGTGGATTAGGATGTAATTGCATGCTCTCTCTCTCTCTTTTTCACAACGCCTTCAACATAACGGGTGCTGTGAACTTTTGGGCAGTCTGTGTCTACTATCAATTGGAAACCATTCATGTGAAAATTTGCAGAAAGCAGAGGACCGCATATAATTGTAGATACAGACCTTCACCAATGAGTCCCTTTGGGAAAGGCTCGTATTCGACAGTCGGATTATACAAAGCGATGATGATAATAATTTCTGATCTAAAAACGTTTCTACTAAACCATTTCGAATACCTTTACGTGTAAATATTGCTACGAAAAGGGCATACAATATAACACATAGTTGGAGATCAAAAACGATAGTAAATTGATTAGTATAATTATTCTCCTTTGATGGTTAGATTACAAACGCAGATAAGATAGGACGAGTATTTGTGTGACCCATAATTGTTCCGGATCTGGGTGTTTATTTCCAAAGAGGGAGGTTCTGTTCATTGGTGTGTGTTCATACGCATATGAATATATTTTCGAATATAACTACCAGTGAACTGTGATAGCTCAGTGGCCGGGCGCTCGCCTTTAATATAATGTACTCGAGCAACTCCAGTTCGATCCCCGGTGTCGACACCAATGAAATTATTAATTTTAAGTGCGTGCAATTATTACGTGCTGAGCGGCTAAGGAAAACATCGTGAGACGATAAATTTATGAAATAGTCAGTAGATCAAGTAAGAGTGGACTTCAATGGAAAGTTTTTCTTCCACCACGCAGCGGCGTTTGCGGTTTCTTGAATTGGCCAGTTCCTTGTAAGAAGTAGAGCCACATAGAAGAAGCTAACGAGGAGGAAGCACTCGATGTTTTAATTAATTACCACTGCCCATGGAAATCTACAACACCTGAGGGATCGCAGGGCGTTGAGAGCTTTTAAAAACGACGACATCGGTTACCCCACTCACTAGACGACTTCGTGCTTGCCCATTTTTGCAACAGCGGAGCCTTATGCATGGTTCTAACACTTCCCCTTCACCTTAAAACTGGCAAGAGTGGCAACGGCGCTTCGCGGCTATATTATTAGTCGCGTCAGGAATTATTTATTAGCTTAACCTTGCTCGTTTGCCATTATCGACTATATTTGCCTTTACACTTATGTAAGAAACACACAGTAGGAATCCAAGTTGATCACATTTTTTTATCTTATCGCATAGTGGCAAGGACATAAACTTCACAATCAATATGACAATTTAAAAGCTTACATTGAAATGATCATTCATTCGCATTAAAACACTTCCAAACAGTGTACCGCGATAATTTTTTTACGATTCCAGAATGAATGAACCAGTCATTATATTTTGCTATTTGTACATGTAGCATAATTTTGTTACATCATACATAATTAAAGAGAAGTATTTAGACATAATTAAATTTTGTTATTAGCATGGACCGACTGGTCTATGTGTCGGGTTCGTTGAAACTTTTTCTCGACTTAAGACCCATTTACACGGTGCAAGTTTCTTGCTTGTTGTATACAATTAAATTAAAGCAATAAATGAGTTGCATGGTCTAAACAACAAATGGTCTAACCAATTATTGAGCGCAATTTATTGCATTCAATTATTGCTCTTGTATGTACAAGAAAATGGCATCGTGTAAATGGGCCTTAAGACTAGCGTTAGTGTTGTGTAGGTATGTACAAAATCATGCATTAGGTATGTTATAAAACAGAAGATAAGGTGACAAGAAATAGCCTTACAGTTCACAGGCTGCCACGAAGCACGATCTTGCGCCATCGCCTTCCCGCACGTTTGCATGGGTCGTCACTCCATCTAGTCTGGTGTCGTGTGTGGTGACGTTGGGAGATTCAAATACTCAATGTGCCATGTGTCTATTTTTTGAGTAAAATCATAACATTTGGTAAGAATCATTATTTATAGCTTTAAGCAGTTTTAAGCAAATGTGAAATTTAAAAGAGTTAAGAGATTTTAATGTTTAATCCTAAGTGTAGAAATTAGCATATTAATTAATTTTAATTTCTCAAAAGTTAAGAGATCAGTTAGAAAATTCATGTTTTCTTATGTAAACTCCTTTTTGAGATCCAAGGGTGTTGGATGGGAGGAAACAAATAAAGAAAAATTGAAAGCAAATGAAAAAAAAACATAAAACAGAAAGTTTTAAAATAATCACTATAGGGATCACACGGGATTTTATAAGTTTTTAGGGAGCCTCTGATATTATTTTATATGTTTACCATTTATTCGTTTGAAATTTGAATAATACGTCTAATAGGTACGTCATCTATCGGTTCAAAATCTATTTATGTATATTAATTGTGATTCGTCTTTTTTAATTTTTTAGTACTTTCCGTACGATGGCGCTAAAAGCTAGCTTGCAATGCAATTTCAAAAGTCACCAATCATTTCCGCTAGAGGGCAGTTCTTTTAATGTAGCCAAAATGCAAGAGTAGAAAGGATTATTAAAAATAATTAAACAATGTTTCATTACTGTCTTTATTTAAATTTTTATCATAGTACCCAATTTTGAAAAATATCTGACTGAATCTTTAGTAGTTGCAACCTCAGAAAACAGAAAGAACGAAGAAATTATTCTGGGGTTGCAATTTTCATTTTTAAAATTTATTGGCTGAATAGGGTATTGTTAATAATAATAAGCTATATTATAATGGCGCAAACTTCAACAGTATAATATTTTATGGACAAACTAAAGAATACTCTCAGATATGCAGGGAGGTTTTTATTAGTGTATCCATTTTTTTTAATTAAATTATAGACATAAACAATGTTATATATAAAATTATGAATATTTAAAATCACTTGTAATTAATTAATTACATTAATTTTAACTTATCTGAAAAAGTGCGTGATTTATGGGCAACTCATTATTTTACGCGCGATCATTCATAACTAACACGCACACAAGTTCGTTTCAAAAACGACGTATTTATGAATGACTTTTTTTTTAAAATAAAGAAGTTTATTTTTATTTCAATAAACGATTATATTACCGATTTTGAACCTCCTGTAAATTTGGGTACCTTTAGAGAAGCCACCCTGTATTTTACTTACAGAAATATATTGTTACAAATGTATATTGATCCATCCAAGTGAAATATATTGTTTTTGTGTACCTACCTACTCTACTATAATTATGTTGTTACGATTGATTGACCAAAGAAAGTTTCGAAAGTTTTGAAAGACGTACAAATATTAAATTATAATTCCGAAAAAGTTCTTCTTCCGGAACACTTCAAAGTACTTATGTACAAATGTAAAAATAATATTTTTTTAGCCCAACAGTAGAAAAATAACAAACAATGTGATGTCATGTGTCAGTACTCTTAGTTTGTGACAAAGACATTAGACAAATGATAACGGTTTAATTAACTTGTAATTATAGGTAAATGTTAAAAAGTTGTTATTAATGGTAATACCATGAAGTTGCAAAGCCGCTTTGCACAGCTCGTGACAATATTTCTTCGATAATAGATAGTACGCAGACCCTAAATACACTATAATATCATATGTTTAGCAATCCTGGTTGCAACATAACTTAGAGTAGGCAACAGTTTTGTCATTTTTATTAGAGCATTTTAGTTACAGTCGTGTACTTAATTGTACGTGTATTTAATTGGTTTATGTAAAAGTTGTATAAAAACTTAAGGATCGCAGTCAATATTTAATCAAGTCAATTTCAATTGAATGTATTTTTTATAAAAAAATAAGAGAATTAAGCAAATTCTAAAAATTTTATTTAAAAAAACATTGAACTTATAATATATCTTTATCTCTATCTTTAATTTGAACGAACACAAATTTCCAAAGCTGTATTTCTCGTGCACGAAGTATATAAAATGAAGCCCATGGACGCATCATCAAATTAAACCACAAGAAAAAACCAAAACCAGTAACCACTCACTACCGTGGACTTCTTTATGAATTTAATTTTTATAATAATCTTAATATAAAACCACTGGTTGCGTCCAGCCTAGATATTGTAGCTGTCGTCGGCGGGTGCCCGTTTGTAGAAAGCGCGGGAAACGTCGACCGGGCCGCGGAGGCCGATCCACGCGAAGTATCCGTGGCGCCACAGTAGCATCAGGGTCAACATAATTGGCACTGCAAGCAGCACGCCTGAAATAATTGCATTTTTAAATTAATATACCTCATTTGTATAACATGGCTTAAAGGTCTTGTTACCAGGCCATTAAATCTTTAATAAAAAATATCGTATGACTGTTTATTGGTGTTTATGCTATGCGCGTGTGGATGCTATGTGTATTTTATTAGCTTATATGTAACAAAAACATTTATACAAAATAAATAAGAAACATCACGGAATCAAAGTGGACTTGAAGTACTTAGAAGTATATAAACTTTCGTCTAAAGAGTGAATTAACCAGGCCCTTTCTTGTTACCACCGCTCTTGGGTATCCGAAACCCCACTAGTTACAAATATATAAGAACGATGGTTAACCACTGAACATAAAAACTTCAGGAGAATGAGTAATTCATCAGACAAAGTCGTTATTATTAAGTTGGTCGCATTTACAAGATATCTTGTAGTCACCATTTACTTGTTTACTAACTTAAATAAAATTCAAATAAGAACTATAAACATGGCCTAAACTATGTTTTATAGTGAACAGAAGTTTATAAGTAAATTGAATCCAATATACGAAATCTTTAATTTTTTTTTTGCAATTGGCAACCATTTTACCCTAAATGCCCACGCAGTAAATTACGTGATGATGAGCAGCGATACAGTATAGGCCTATTCATATCGCGAAGAATATTAGAGAGCTGTGGCTTACCGATGAGTGTTCCCAGGAGCATAGCCCCGTCTTTCTCGGGCCTGTGGCCGTATTTGTCCACGCAGCGCATGGTGCGGTGGATGTCGTGCAAATGCTTCATCGTGTAGCCCTTCATTTCTATAGGCTCGTCACACCTGTGTCGAGATTCCTCGTTATTTAGCTGTCTCAGCTTTTATTTTTATTTTTTAAAAACAAAAGAAACCACGCGTTTTGTCTAAGTGTTAAATATATTGCCTACTTGTGGCTTAAGAAACCACAAAGGCCAGTTGTATGAGATATGAACAAATAGAAAATGCTGTGGCTATTCTATCCATCCGATTAGGCTACCAGGAAGGGTGTTCGAATTTCGTATCCTGTTACTTGTTGGTATTCTGATATATATTTTACATGAACAAACACGAAACCAGCTTAATTCTATATAAAAATTGAAACTAAGAGTTGACTTTATAAAAACTGTCTACTTGGTTTAGAACTTACACCATGCTAGCAGTCGCGTTGAGGGTTTTGGCTTCGATTAAAGGTACCAGTATATCCACCATCCATTGCGTGGAGCAGTCGCAGAGGAACGGATTGTTGGAGACATCGATAGCTTCTAGAAGGTCCCATCGGGGCAAGAGCCGGCTGTCAATTTCTGACAGGTTATTCGACTGTAGATAAATCTGAAAACACAGTCATAGGAAAATATCAAATGATGACTGAAATCCACATCCACATCCACCGAAGATTATAGGTTTTCCAGATTATACCAAAAGCTCCACAGATATTCAGCATTATTCGGAAAATCTATTAACGGAACGTTACTCTTCGATTAGCGCTTACCATCTGTTTTGAACAATGACATATGTAATTTGAGGGTTGACTGGTATTGAATGTCATTTGGCATTAAATCCGCCCCTTGTATTCCTCAGCTTAAGGTGTAACAATAAATAAATAAATATTTGTATTTCTTAGTGAAATATTTACATTAATCGGTGTCCTACATGTAGAGTATGTTGTTTTAATCATTTCGATAATCAATCAAATTAATAATTTCTTGTATTCACGCGATTACACATTGCTAAATTAAACTATGTTTACGGATTATCGCATTAATTTTTTTTCTGAATTAAAATAAATAAATAAGTAAACAGCTAATAAAAATAGCTTCATTTAGCAATGAAAGTAAATTCGATCACCACCAAAACCTCAGAATATTGCAAGCGTTTTCTGCACAAATATTTAAGTGAAATAATCCGGTTAAGCCCATAAACGTTGTAAAATATTCGAAGCGACGTCGTCCGGATTGTGAAATTAGTTCTAAAAGCTATTAAAGCTGTAGAGTGTTTACATTTGACAGAGCATAGTGTTTACCTAATTAAGGTATACGAGAGATTGCTTGAATTTCTTGAATTTGAAAATTGTCTGCATTGAAATGGGAACTGTAATAAAGAAATTGCGACACCAAGAAACACATTACACACATAAATTACCTCTTTAACGACGGGCCAGTCGTAAGTCTCGCCGATGTCGTCGGGCCTCGCCATAGCTTTGGGGTCTATGTGGGCGAGCTTAGGGTTGAAACTCATGTGCAGCCGTTCCAGGCTCTCCAGCCCAGCGAGGGCACCGGGGCCGATGCTGCGCAGAGACTTCATGTTGCACATGTGCAACTCCTGCAGCTTGCGCAGCCGGGGGAAGCCTCTGTTGCAACGAAAGGCGACACAGAGGTCAATTAAGTCGAACGTTGCCATAACGAGCTAGCCTCGCTCTTGTCTTTTCCCAACGGAGATAGACTAAACTCGTTTCGCCAACCTTACACCAGAACCAAACTAGACGTCTACGGCTGAACTCCCTTCCACCCCTGAGACTGCCACAAATATCATCATTACCACCTTGTGGGTCGTCCTACACCGCGAAGCGAATCCGAGACTGCTAGTCGAGAACCCCCCCTCGAGAATGTATCCCCCATCCTATTAATACATCCCATGTAATTTTATACCATTGATATCATAAATGTCAATAAATCTTTGTTCGGTCACTCGAGTCCATTGAATTTTTGATTATCTACTCACGGATGATCTTCAGATGCCATGTCCAGCTCAGTGATTGGATTCTGGTTGAGGTTCAGGAACATGAGGTTCTTGGTCTCCTCCAGCTCTTGTGGGACGGCTGTGAGCTGGTTGTCACTGATGTCCAGGCGCTCCAGGTAACGTGGCGTGTGCAGGAATTTATCGGGTATCTCCGTCAGCTGGCACGATCGCATGCGGAGAACCTGGTGAAGAATCATTAAATAAAATTCGGTTTCTTCATGTTATTGTTTTCTTCGTTAACCTTCGTGTATATACATATATGAAAATTCTAATTACACTATTTTTGTTGTACTGTATATTCATACATACAGTTTTACATTGATGCTTTTAAGATAAAAGTGTTTACCTTCAACATTGGCAAGCTCGAAATCGCTACTAAAGTGACATGGTCTATTGTGGTCAATGGGTTTCCACTGAGGTCTAGCTCCGTTAGTTCGGGTAAGTGCTCGAACAGGTCCTGGTTGAGGGAGTGTAGGTCGTTGTATGCCAGGTTCAGCTTCCTCATGGCAGCAAGGGGCTCGTACTCCTCGGGTAAGTAGCGGCCCTGCAAAGAGTTACTTACTTAATTGAAATCCTAGAAATAGGATAACACGACTACCACAGCGGCGGGCACCAACTTAATACCGGCTTTCTAATGATGTGAATCGACGGTTTCAGCAAATTAGCCTTAGTTGACTATGTTTAAATGCCCCTTTATGTTCAAATTGTCGTGACGAAATATGTTCTACAACAAGGGTGGCTAACATTTTTCATAGGACTTCTACTATCTATGATATTTTAAAAATAAGCCGCGATTTAACTAACACGGATGTATAAAAAATACATCATCATTATGTAAAAAATTCATCATTATGTAGTCTCGTCAGTTTTCGTCAACATGCGCAAATGTTTTCAGTCATCACAATTCTATGACGTCAAAATTACTCTAAAGGTTTGAATATTTGTATAGGAAATGATCGTACCTCGAACGCATGTGGACTCAGTCTTTCGGAGGTCAGTTTATTGTGGCTGAGGTCCAACTCCGTCATCTCTTGCAGGTCTTTGAAGCTGGCGTTCTCTATATACTCTATGGAGCACCGAGATAGATTGAGAACTTTTATAGGCAGGTCACCGATAAGTGTCACGTTAACAATCAAATTTTCACTTAGGTCTACATGCGTTGGTTTCAACTCTTTCAGATCTGAAATGAATATATTTTATTAATTCATGGTATGCACCATCATGTACCATATGTACCAGCTCATTAAGTACCTAAATACGTCATGCGTTAAGTCTGTCATCATTGTATAGGGCAAACATATGCGATACTTGGTTGTGAATACCGCTCGGAACTGAATTAGCGATTTTAAATTATTCAACTATTGGGTTGGGTCATTTTACTAACTTTTTGAATTCTTATAAAAACGCTTTTATATTTGTGCGGAATTTTTGAAGAGACTATAAATGAAGATTAGAGGTCACTCTAGCAGAGCCATCTATGGGTATTAATAAGAACGCAGTAGCAATAACAATTCTTAAAGAAACCCTAGAGGTAGTTCGTAGCAACAATTGTTATTGCTACTACGTTTTTATTAATACCGCTAGATAGCTCTGTTCCTTAAATTGTGCAAGACCTGCACGAAATGACTAATGCTTCTTTAATTAACTTGTTACGGTATCTAAAAAAATAATATGGTATAAAATTTTCCGTGCCAGGGCGGTGAAAACATTACGAGTGATTCATTCTAATTTGTTGCACTGTGTATAATTAGGAATTTGTGACCGAAAATGCGGCCATCGTCTACTATGTTGCGTGCAAGTGTTTACTATTTATAAAAAAAAACGTGGGTGGAAATTTAATAAATTAGTATAGATACAGTAGATGATGAAGATATAGTATACAATATGATAGAAGATACTTACCATTCCACTCGTCAATAGAGAAGAACTCTGTGATACTTTGATCAAAGCAGTCTACTTTGTTGTCGTTGCATTTGCATTTTCTACAGATTCCCGTTTCTTTGACGAGTTCTTTAGGAATTTTAGCTGGAGTCACTGTGGTGACGTCTGAAAGTATAAAAATTATTAGTAGCGCTATTCATCAATAGAGGGCGGTAGAAGGATTGCCTGTAGTTATTTTAAGAGAAAACGATAAAAATATTTTTAAGTACAATTGTATGTATTATAGACTATTGAATTTGGGCATCGTATTTTAATCATTATCATTTTCTACTTAGATGCAGGGAAATGAAATGGCGATGAATTAGGACTTTCTGGAAAATCTGTAATATCTGATATAGAAATTATTAACTACTGAAAAAAACTCTAAAAGTCTATGTATAATATTAAAAATATAATAATCTCAAAATCACCATATTGACAAATTAAATCGTTTCTCGAATTTTATGCTGTTTTCCCATATGCGTGTATTATGATTGATTTTATTTACAAACTATCCAATTTACAGAATTTAATTTTAACCTCTTTTCGCGGCGTCATACGTTAGCATTTTCCAAAACGATTTTCGTGGACACTTGTGTTTACCTAAACAGGAATTTGGGCAGTTTCTACAAAAGCTTTAACTGTGGTAAGGTCACGCGGCTGCCTTTGCGAATGGGCAAACTCGTTCAGAGATACCATGGCCTCACTGAAGACCAGCGTGAAGAGGATGTGTTATACTTTGGCGTTTCACCTGGTGGTAAGTGAGGTAACTGTGACCTACTTTATTAAAATGTAGCAACGCAACCTTAACACTGTAAGGTTGCAGATGTGTTGTGATCTGTTAATTCATCCAATCCGTGGAGGGCGATTCTCACTTAATATCATAATATACATTTGGAAATAACTAAAAGACGAAACAATTAAGTAAAGCTTATTAAGTAGAATTTTCATTACAAAGAAACGACTTTAAGTTCAGCATTAAGTGACTTTAGAGCCGCTGAAAAAGTCTAAAACCCTCATTCGCTATCACATTCCTTAAATAATGAAATTACTCACTGTCCGTTGAAACAAAGTCAACGTATAGAAGGGCAACCGCTAAGCAGGATATGAGTCCGCCGCCCATTTTATCTGGGAATTATGAAATGATCAATGGTAAAAAAACTTTCTCATCGCTATACAAAGTATTCGTTTTATTATCTTCTTTTTTAATAATATATGAGATTTGTTTGAAGACAAGACAGGATTTTAAACTAATTTTAAAAATGATCCCGCCATTATCCTGATTTTCTTGATGACAAGTATTTTTAGTTATGTTTACGCTACAGTTGTATTTTGTGCCTAAAGCTTCTTAAACGTGGGTAGGCATCTGCTAATTGTGTTAGTTACCAAACATTTAGTGCAGTAACATTTTCAAGGATCATTTTTATTTATTCTTTGTTACAAAAACCGTAACTAGAGATTACAACGGGCGAACTTAATGCCTATTGGCGTTCTCTACCAGTCACATCATAAGTTAGACCAAATTTTAACAATTGATATCATTGCATTACAATATATATAATTAAAATGTATAACTATAGGCTAAATTCACACATCTATCATTGGAAATAATGCGCAACAATGTGAACAAAAGAATGAATGCACACTATTGAACACAAAGAAAAAAGAAACAAAAATAATAATAATAAATTAGAATTCAAGAGTATGATGATTACGCCTTAGTATAAATAGTGATTAATGTAATAATATGTTTAAACAGATTTCATCGCTGCGGTCTTTTAGTATTTTCCAAGATGCTACAGAAAGCTTAGTGTTGAAGTTTCTTGTGAGTTTTATAGTTTTATTTAGTATAATAGTTAATCATTCATTAAGTCTTAATTTAAATCTTCGATTTGATATATGTCATCGTTAGATTCTCATTATACATCTTAATGTAAGCGAATAAACGCCTTTTATAAATCAAGAAAGTATTATATCTATGTAAGACTGAAAAACCACTCCTTAATTGATTGATAGGCAGATAACATTATAAATTAGGAAGTAAAATACACTGTAAAGGCACTCTTTAATACAATATTAAAAATCGAACCTGTTCAACTTGTAAACACTTTGAACATAACACTTTAAGCACGTGTATTAACACAACAAATCGACAGAATTTTGGCGCGGATGAGAACAGATTTTCTTTAATACGACACTTGAACACAAAATGGCTGACAGCGATGTTTTGTATCTTATCTATATTTCGTTTTATCGCTTCGCTAAAGGGCTTATCAGTTGGTGCAGCCTTACTAGAAGCGATAATGTTTTTGTTCATTCCATATAAAAATGTAGGTCAGTGCTTTCGGAATAAGGATCGTTTAACAGGTGATAAAAACCGCCCATGTAATTTTTCACTGCTGCTAGGATTTGAACCCACGCCTTCCGGGATACGCGCCCGACGCTCTAGACACTGAGCTAAACGGCTTATCTTCCACACCGACGCCCATAATCATTCCCAACAGCCATGCCAAAACAAAATGAAAAATTATTCTAGTTTATGCCGGTTTATGCGATCCTGGTAGATACTTGATACACCAATGAGATTTTGATATTAAAAAAAAACAGCTCGTTCGAGTGGTTTTCCTTCCATGGTTCTTAAACAGGTAATACCATTATTTTCAATTGTAGTGCAGTCTTTACATTAATGCAACTTGTAAGATTGTCCATTGAAAATTACTATTCACATCCATTCAGATTTTGCACGCAACGGGTCGCTAGCATAAATTCTCTCTTTTTCGAAATATAATTATCAAAGTTTAATTTCATCTTGTGTCTATCAGACTCATATTAAGATCTTTTTTGATGAGCTATTTCATTAGTTTATGAATGAATATACTTTATTGCACACCAAAAACAAACAAAAATTAAAACTTAATGTAGAAGTGATGGGTACAATGGGCGGCCTTATTACTAAGAGTATCATCAGTCTAATATTAATATATACATACTTTTAAGTCGACCCCTTCAATTTATTTTTTCGAAACAGGTCGAAGAGGCGTACTGCCTAAGGTGCCGAACAGACGAGCCTGACTTCAAAGGTTCTTATTAGATTCCACCCATGAGATATACAATCAGTTTTGTTATTTGCAAAACTCGCCTTTTTTCTTTGTTGAACACGTAAACGCCAACTCTCACGCCACACCCTTATCTGCTATCAACGCCTGATTGTGCCCGCACCTTTATTTTTACCATTTCTAAGAACAATACGATTTTCTCTCTACTGATTACTCAGTGCTTTGATTGATGAATGTTCATACATTACATGATTCATATCAATCAACTATCGTGTTATAATATTTTATTTAGTTGTATTTCCTCATAAAATTAGTGAAACATAACAATTACATAAAAACTTGTATGTCCATTCCGTAAAATTGTTTTATTTCTTTCAATGTGAAAACCAATGTAACATGCATTTTAAACCAGTGATGTTCTTGCCATTTGCCGTGCGTCGTCAAAGCGCTTGCATTTACCGGCTGGCTCATTGAATTTGGCGCGGTGATCGTGGGTTCGATTCCCATTCGGGACAAGTTTACTAATAAGGCCTACAAATTTATTCTGTGTTTGTGTAACGACTTAATAACACAGGATTATCTTATGCCACATTGGAGAAATCTTTTTAAATTTTTTTTAATGTGAGAAAGTGGCAAACGAGCTGGCGGTTCACCCATGGGCAGGTGGTTATCACCATGTAAAGTGATAACCACCTGCCCATGGACATTTGCAACACCCGTAGGGTTGCAGATGCATTTCCACCTCTTAATAATGTCGGCCCCGGCTACCTCACTCACCAGACGAAACGCAAAAGTGCAGCACTTCTGCTTTACGCCGGTCTTCTGTGAGGTCGTGGTACTAACCCGGACGGACCTGCCCATTCGTGCAACAGCGAGCACTGTTGCGTGGCCCTACCACCGTAAATGAAAAATTAAATTCAATTTGAAGTTAAAATTAAAAAGTCTATTCGCACCAGAGCACCTTATTATGCTACCGCATTATATTTATTATTGAAAGATATTCCGTCACAGACTAAATATAAAATGTAATAGATGTCCATATTCGCAACGTTATCGTGCTAATGATTAAGTCACTGGCTGGCGATGCCATTAATTCTAATTGATAAACTGAAAGAAAAGCAAATTCGTAAATGCCTTTGATTGCAAACTCATAACACCGCAAGGTGTGCAGTACACATTGGGAAAATTTTTACCAATATAGCGAGTTTTTCCAATTTTTTTTGCGCTTTTGAAATATTAATATGGTAACGACCGTATTGAACGTTTCTTCCGACGCTCTTCCTTCATGTGATAAGGTCTTTTCGTCTTTCTGGGTTATTTCTCGGTTGTGTCTGTCCGCAGGCAACAGCAGAAACAGTAGCCTATACAACAGTTAAATTAATATAAGTGTACCTTTTATATATACCAATATAGAGACTAAATCTGTCTTGAGCCTAATATTAAGTACCTACTTAACATTAGGCTCAAGGGACATTTACTCTTCGGTACAAAATTAATGAACGTTTCTGCAGATTTTGTCTATGTTAAATTTCTAAAGAGTCTCAACATAAACGTACGGAAAGCGAGAGGTCTCATTTTACTTTCCAACTACGGCTTAACTGCGAAAAACGTATTGAAACGGCGGGTCAATTTATTTTTGAGCTTAAGCAGGGCCTAACAAGTCCCTACGGACAGTAATCCGATGCGCGCCATCTAGCGGCAAGCGGGATAATCACTTGCTAATTGACGTAAATCGTACATTGACGACAAAACGCGGGAAATTGCGCTAAGTGATGCTCACTCAGTTTTGGCTGCTTTCGAAATGAAATTGTACAAAAATTTATGTGTTTTTGTACTTGCGTTGATGGCTCAGCTGGGGCGTTGGACTTGTGATGTTCAATCCCCAGAGAACAGGCATAATATGATTTTATGCTTTTCGCAGTTCTGACGTTCTGAAATCGCAGCGTCACATTTTGATTAGTGTTCGACGACATGTTTTTGAGGCCTCAATAGTTAGGTAAACAATCATAAAATTTCCTAAATCTGTCTACCCAATAAATGTTTAAGACATAATCACCTTTTTACGAACGTTCTTATAATACATACCTACATAAAGGATATCGTATTGTTCGAGGTTTCTTGGATCGTGAGTTTTCAAAATACAAGTAATTTACACCAGTGAAGGAATGGGAACGGGTATTGATTGAAATAGATCGGCTGGGCTTTTTCGTTGTACCCTTTATATATTAGAACGTATTATGTTACACATCGAATATGTATTGTGAATCTTGCCGTCACGTGCTTTAACGAAAGGATCGCGACTCCAAACTTCTCATAAACTCCCCTAACGAATCGACTCCTGCACAGGTCGACTCTCCATCTAGTGGATTGGTCGCCCTACACTATGATGGTCAATACGAGGCCGCCACTCAAGAAACTTTCTACCATTCATTGGTTATCCGTTCTTCGAGCTATATGGCTGGCTTATTTCCACTTCAGTTGCCTTTGTACTCCTGCGAACTCTATCACTCCGAGAAATACCGAGCATAACCTCGATAGCTAGATTAGTGACTTGAGCTTCCTCATATGGCCAGCAGTGAAGGACCAAGTCTCATCACCCGAAGGTCATCACTGGCAACACACATTGAATGAAGACTATAATCTTCAAACATTGAGGGATATTCAAAACTGTCCATCCGTGAATACATAATTCTATATAGGCAACTAAAAAAAAACTTATTTCAAAATAAAGTAATACATTTAACATTAAAAATAAAAAAAACAATAAAATATAGTTTTCTTTGTATCGTGTTTTTTTTCATAAATAAACTAATATAATTAAGAAGAATTGAAGCATAATTACGAGTATGAAGACTGATAGTTTAATACAAAAACAAACACAGACATTTTTACTCAGTAGCCGGGAAAGTTGTAAGAAGTGCTCTACACTCGACGTGCTATATTTCAATCGATTCATTTATAAACATATCAAACGTCTATTTAAGAGCCATAAATAAATGTCTCAGCGATAAAAATGGCGGAACTAATTGACCCTCAGATAAGAAGACATCCTCTCAAGCATCTCCTT